CCTGCATGACAGTGATAGGTATGTGCAAATCTGACCTCTAACAACTAACTTAATCCGGATATACAATGGCCCTAATACTTAATAGGAAGAACATAAATGAATATAAATTAACCCAAAATAGCTAAATAACCCGAAACAGACCAAACTAAAGCTAAATCCCACTAAATAACTCTACCCCTCCCCCTTTCTCTGCTCACTAACCCAGCCTAACAAGCTGATTTGCTACTGCTGGGACCTGTTTGCTGCATCCCCATGTGTGCACTCCATGCGGACACGCCCCCACAAGATGGTGACCTCGAAGAGAGGAGAGGTTAGCAGTGTTTAACAATAAAATAAACAAAAAACATGTCCATGAATAGTCAGGTATTGTACTGACTTCACCTCAGTGAGGGGAGGGGTTTCCAGCTCCCTCACAGGGATCAATAAAGTTCTTGTATTGTGTTGTATGTACTTTAACTTACTTTTCTAACTATGATAACTTTCTTTACTTATTCCTGTTTGTAACTAACTTTGACTTAAACTGTCTAAGTTCTTTTAAAGTTTTGTATTTTGTTTTGTATTCAGAACTTCAGTGATGGATAAGATAAGGATAAGTTTATTAATCCCAGAGGGTAAATATGATATTTCTGTTTTTATTATTCAGATCCTGAAATAAAGTCAAACCTCTCAGGGGGAGCTGGTCGATCTCTGCTGGGTTTCTCCTCTGATTTCTCTCCTCTCTCTCCAATCCTCTCTCCTCCATTCGTTCAGGTTTTTGGACAACACTTGGACTTGTTCTTGTTTGCCTGAGGACAGAGCGGATCTCAGTCCAGATCCAGGGGCTGTAAAGTCCTCATCCCAGAGATACCAGATCCTGCTGCAGGACTTGTTTTTCCACCGTCTTTGTTAGTTTTGTTCCTTCTGTGTTTCCTCTCACTCCTGTCGCTGATCGGTCTGTTAAAGTGAGAATTTGCAGTTTCAGTCTCGCTGAGGTGTTGGTCAGCAGAATTCGAGGTCGCTCTCTCTTTCTGTTCGCTCGGACTCTCATGTCTCCCCTCTGAGTGTCTCTTTCAGCTGTTTCCATGTCACCGTCTTCCTGTCCTCGTCCATTTTTCACCCGCATTAAAGTTTCAAACCGTCACAACATTTCACACGGACGGGACATTTATCTGAGCGTGTGCGTGGCCTGTTGGCGAGCGGCGATCTAACGGCATTTGTCCTGAAGTGTGTGAGAGCTGCAGAGAGGCCGTTTAGAGTTCTCGGTGCGGACAGCGCTGTCAGAAAAATAAGACTAAGGTGGATTTAGTTGGAGGAGAGTGGAGGAAAACAGCAGGCGATGCTTCTGTTTGCAACAACAGAAAAATAAATGTGAGGAGGGACGACGTAAACAAACAGAAATGTGTTTGGATCGGCGGTTCACCAACATGTGTCAGCACTTTAAACAAGCGTGTGTGTGGAGAGGATGTTTGCTGACTGATGAAAGAGCGGGAAACTCAGTACGAGGACAAATGAGGGTTTGTTGATTTAACGTCTTTTTTATCTTATATTCCCATTTAGAGAAACGACTGAAGACGTGTTTGGATATTCAACATCTCTGAGTGGTCCTTTCATGGATGAAGATCTGCACACTTCACATTAAATACTCTTAAACGGAGACCAAGTACAGGCCAGCACCAGGAAACACCAGTTTGATCCTAATATCAAACATCAGCTGACCAAGGACGCTGAGGGATTCTGGGAAATACTGATGGGAGGTTGTGTGCCCAGTAAACAAACTGGGACTCCTGGATTTTTCATCGTCCAGTCGTGAGGATTTGATCTGAAGATTGAAGAACTGCAGTTTCTCTAGAGGACTCCTCACCCCCCATTTTCAACGGCTCCACTTTGGAAAGATGGTGATTTTCACTGTCCGCCAATTTCTACTGGATCTGTTGGTGAGGCGAATTTTGTGGCAGATTACAGACAGCGGTAATAGTGAGAACTCACAAGAACCCACGGATTTATGCTCACTCGCACAATAACAATTTATTTTGTGTCTGTGCCCGACTTCCTTTCCAGCACGGGTTAATCTGTGCTGAATTTATCCGCCATGCTCCGGCGTCCGGAAAAAATAGAACTCTTGTGATCCGCAGCGGAATGAAAAGAAGTCGGTGTAAATTGACACGTTAACTTGAATGGTTACGATCAGCTACGATCGGAGGATACGACCTTTTCGTAGATGTTCAGGATGTGGTGGAAACTGGGGGTTCGGCTCCATCCTCACCTGTCTCTCATGGATCATCCAGAAACACAAACTTCACTGCACCTATCTTTTTTAAGTTTATTCAGAGAGGTGAAAACTGGTTACTTTTCTTTTCCTGGATTGATCGTCACGTCAATCATCCAGTTTACAGGTAGTTTTATTAATTATGTCGGCTGTTAAATGTCAAGTTCAACTCATCACAGTTTCCCAGGATATGTCTTTAAATGTCTCTTCTGAATGTCCTGTCAATCAGCTGATCATAGAGGTCCAGGTCGGGGTCAGAGTAATGAGATCCTCCTGAGAAGTCCAGGTTCAGAGAGTCAGAAGTCCAGGTATTTCTGGAGTTTGGTGTCTGTTCAGATGCTGATATTTCTCCCTGAAGTCCTGCAGAGACTCACACATGAAAGTTTAATGTCTGCCTCTGACTGTGGCGTCTCCCTGCAGGTTATTGATCACCCGCTCTTTTCCTTGTTTGTCGCTGGCCTCTCTGCTCCTCGGTGACAGCTGGAGTGTTGGAACAAGACCTTTTATCACACACAAGTCCAGACGGCTGGCATCCTGCATCCTAATCTGGAGATCTGAGGAAAGTGGAGCATGTGGGGGGGTTAGGTAGCACTGTCTGGGTGTGATGTAGACCTGGAGGGAGCAGTCTGGTCTTCGGGGGCCTTTTTAGTCTGAATTAAAACATCTGCCAGGGTTAGAGAGTTATCCTCGAACAAAACGGGGAAACTTTGGGAATTGGAAACTAGTGGTGCTCTCCTGATGGACTTCTCAGTGAGGTTCCTCGTCTGGAGACCAGGGATACATGTTCCTAATGCTAATTTACATTATATACAGATGATACTTGAAAGATGTCAACCGTCACTACGTCTCAGAGTGATGTGACTGAATCTGTATCTTCATAAAAATACTGAAGACTCTTAATCGAGGTCTCCACGAGTCTCGGACTCATCTGTAGATCCTTTTATTGATCAGAAAAAGCAGGAAGCTACAGTCTCTTCTTTTTAACCCAATCAAAAGTGTTTGTTTGGTTCTGTCCTTGTGGTTCATCTTGAAAAGGGCAAAAAGAGTTCTAGGTCTCCTGCTCCTGCAGCCTGGAATCTCCGGCAAAGAGAACATGGGTCTGAGGGATCTGCTCTTCCTGGTTAAATCTAAATAAATGAATATTCACTTCTATGTCCAAACAGCTTTTTTATGCCCTCCTGACATCCAACAAGGAACCACAGACTCGGACTTTGAGCTGCAGACTCTCATCCTGACCTGCTTGAGGTCCCAGCCTACAGAGGCCTACAGAAGCACATCATCTGCAAAGAGCAGAGATGAAACTCTGAGGCTGCGGCGGTGTAAAGCACTTTTAGTTGAAATGTTTGATCTTGAACAGGCAGGCAGATCTCTGTCCATACAGAGAAATAAACCATCTTCATTCTTCAGTTATCAGGATGGATAGACATCCAGGGTAGACTGTTTTCGGCCTGATTTTACTCTATGCAGACTGTTTTTTTTCTGCAGACACCAAAGCCCCCAGATAGCTGACCAAAACCGGAACTCTTTCTTTAACCCAGTAAATAGATAATAAGAATGTAAATAATCTGCTGTTTTAACACAGGGAGGTGAATTTCATGTTTCTGCTGTAATCCGCTGACAGAAAATGAAAGCTGTAGGTGATAATTATTTCATTTTTAATCCGGAATCATTTGAATAATTGCCCATCCTGAGCTGCAGGCAGTTTCATGGATCCCGGTGTGGGTGTCATGTTATCGTAAATGTATATTCATGAACCAGCTCATCAGAGACCAGGACCTGCTGTCAGGGGTTGCAGATCTGCAGAGCTGCAGCTGCTAATCGGTGAAATAAATCTTCATTCACCCGCCTGGTTCTCAAACACGGACCTCTCAGGGTCACGGCGCTGAGTGACTTTCTGCAGGTTAGTGGAGCGGGCTGATCCAGTCATTAAAAACTCGGGTAAAGGATGTCAGTGATTCACGAGCTCCTCCAGGGTCTGATCCGTTTCTTCATCCTTGAACGTACGTAATCAATTCTGTTACATGCATACATGTATATATCATGTCATGTGAATGGAGGTCAGTGCTCCACAGCTGCTCTGAGGGCGTTATTCAAACAGGAATATGATGAATATTATTAAGAGAAGAAGCTGCTAATTTGAGGTGTTTCTGCTGAAACATCTGAATTTAAAACCTTTCATTCGTCTGAAATATGAATATTTGGGGTGAGACAAAAGCTTTTGCAGCAATCAAGAAAACGTCAAACTGATGAAATATCATCAATTTAAATTATGCACCTCCAGATTATTGTGGGAAAGACGATTCATGATCACAGTATAAGTGCAGTCAGTGTTGGGTTTATATTCCTGTTTCTACTGAAAAAATAACTCAGAGTAGACTTATACGGTTCAAGTACTCGTCTTATCATGTCTTTACATCTGTTTATTTCACTCTGTTTAATATAAATATGTTAACATTCGCTGTTTATCATTTCAACACTATCGTGGCGCTGCTTCAGGTGGTGAAAAAGATTTGAGGTACTCCCCGACTTTGTGAGAACATGTACTCGACATAATTTACAGTCCACATTACTCTGCTTCATGTCTGACCTCCAAAAACCAAAATACCTCCACACCACCCACGTTTTCCTAACGCCAGTGTTGTGGTTGACATTGATGTGGTCATCTGTTGAGCCTTCATGGTCATTTCTGTCGGGGGTAGCACTCATTTTCTTTGTTTCTCACCAACAGTGCTGTCGGCTTCACCTGTTAAAGTGCTATGGTTGGGTGTAGCTGCTGTCTGCTGTGACGCAGTTGATTGATACTTGGTTCTAATTCAGCACATGATTGGTTCAGACCCAGAGAAACTCCCCTTTTCATTGGCCTTTCGTATAGTCTACCAAAACATAGCAGAATGACGACTATTGAAAAGCATATTGAGCATGTTTCATTTTAATATTAAGGGGAATTTATTTTAGATATATATCATTATCATTCTATCGCCCAGCCCTTCTGTCTGTGTATGAAGTATTTTTGATAAAAATAAGTGATGAGGAGTTATCACAAAACGGACATCATTCTGTCAAACACACAGAGCTCTTCATCACAGCTCTCCTCTGTTTCTTCTGTTCCTCTTCCTCCGATAATGTCGGGATCATAAATGTCGCCGAGCAGTGACAGCGTTATTTAATCTCCATGGGAACAGCCCCAAACCTCCATCCATCAGCCCAAACTCCAGAGGAACAGATGTTGTTTGGTCGACTTTGATACAAACAGCCATAAATGATCATTAAAGCGTTCGTCACGCCGTCATCCCAAAGACGCTGAAACGCAGCGGGGAGAAGCTCCCAACGTCAAAACGCCCAGGAGGGAATCTCCTCCACATTTACCCAGAACATTACACACACAATCAGCGCCAAATCAAACACAGCGCAGGCGGCGTTCGCCCTTTTCCCCTCCTGATAACACAGCTCCTCCCGACCCCCTGCTGCTCCGCCGCTGATTAAACCCCCATTCAGGGCGGTTAATTAGTTCACGCCCCCTTTGAATCCTAATGCTGAAGAGCCGGGGTTCATCACGGGGGCTCGGTGCTCGAGGACGTGAGATATCTGGAAGAGCAAACATAAATCAGAGCTATATTCTCCCACCGACACAACAACAGCTGTTTCACACAAAGAGGGAACAAATCAGTGAAATCAGCTGCTGGGAAGAGAGGCGAAGGAAAACTGAGATCTGATCTTCACTTTAACGGCCTCAGAGATTCAGTTTCAGGCACAGAGAGAGACTCGAGTGGGGACGTCCAAACTCCTGCAGTAAGACGTCAAATCTCCTTATCTGTATGTGGGAAATCAAGACCTGCAGGGATACAAGATCTGCTTTTATTTTCATTTACAGCCAACGGACTGGAGGACCGGCTCAGCTGTCACATTCACAGACTGTTGGGCTTCAACGAATCAAAATGGTTTCAAATCAGTCTCCTGTGGGATTGAGGAACAACCAGCAGACCCTGATTAGGGGACCTCAGAGTCCAGGGCTTCAACAGGTCTCCAGTATAAGCTTCAACAAGACCATGCAACACGAGCATTACTAACTGTATTCTGCAAAGACCTGAGATTCAGTGTCAGGTGGTTTTCTTAAGAGCTTAGCTGCAGTTTTCTCGGACCACTTACAGACGGTCCAGCTCTGGACACTTTGGACCTGAGCTAACCAAACCGTTTCATGCTAATCCAGATTTAAGGCATGGCCTGTTTGGTTATGAAGACTCCAGAGGGCGTGTTTTTTCAGCAGAGGATATCACATCAAGACTTTTACCAGATTAGACACGACATGATCAGGAGATGAGGCGAGAACCAGCTGGAGAAAGTTATTTACTGTTCATGTTTTAATTCAGATCACACAGTCGAGTAAAATAAATGATTTAGACGTGAACAGCTGGATGTTATCTGCATAAAAATTGTAAGAGACTCCTTTTACCCGAGAGAGACAATTGCAGAAGACCCGGGGCAGAACCCTGAGGGACTCCACCACCCCCAATTTCCACTGCGTCCAGAACGCGCCATATTTCACACCGTGCAAACGGGCGGAGACGAACAAGTGAAAGGTTTTTAGACGTCATTTCACCCTGATGACACCATGGATGAGGAGATGCTGATTCTAGAAGTCTAGAAGTAGATTTCCTCCTCTGGAAGGACACAATCTACTGCTTATATGTCTACGTGTCTGTCTTTATAGAGACAACTCGTTATCGCGCGATTGCACGTGAATCCATGGGTTCTTGTGAGTTCTCGTGATTCCTGCGGTCCGTAATCCGCCACGAAATTCGCCTCACAAACGGATCCAGTAAGAATTGGCGAACGGTGGAAAACGCCACTGTTCCGGATCGGAGCCTTTCTGGCTGTGGTGGAAATCATGGAAATAATAATAATAATAATAATCATGAAATAATGGAAATAAGGCCAGACTCATCCACAACAGATGTGACCTTGGCAACCACCTTTTTGAAAACCTCTTTCTGCTCTTCTTCATCAGTTTCTGTTTGGGACAGCAGAGACAAATCAAAGTTTAAAAGAGAGATTTAATGAGAGTCCAAATGGAACTGAGAAAAGGCAGTTTAGGGGGTCTGTGCTGTGGATCCGGATCACCACAAAGAGCTTCAATTCTCTCATTACCCACTTAGGGTTTGAGTTGAATATGTGATTGTAGATCTGTTTTAAAATCACAGATTTCGTCACTGTAAACAGCTTCTGTTTATTCTGAGGAACATGATCTGTTCTTCTTCACAGCGACTCGTCTCCACTTCAGGGATATTTTCATAAAAAGACCAAATGTCCTTTTTGAATCCTGCAGTCTGATTTAGTCTTGCACCAGAGGTGAAACATGTGGAACAGGAGAGGAAGAGGAAGTGTCTCATCTTCTCTGTGACAGAGAGCGACCATTAAAGGCTGGACTGAAACCAGCTGAAAAACCCAGATCTGAATTACTCTGGAGAGTGACAGACACAGACAGATCTCCCCCTTTAGGCCTCCACTGTGAATGATAATTAATGAAGCTGCAGCCCCGCACTGCAGAGGTGCATGCTGGGTAGGCGGCGAGTCTCCCCATCCATCACCGCAGACATCGGCATTTATCTGGTTAGCCGTGCAGGAGGCTCGATTGAGTCAGGGAGGAGGTCAAAGAAACAAGAAGAGGAGAGGAAGAAAGGGAGGAGGAGGAGGAGTAGTAGTGATGAGGCAGCAGTTTGATCCTTAGACCATAAATCAATTAACTGATCAAGAGATGGTGAATTAAAAATAAAATGATCAGAGACAGTCGGATAATAAGAAGAGGAGGCCTCTGAGAGCCACAGAGGTCAGTATAACTACAGGAGGTTCAGAACTGAGGGGGATTAGGGTCTCTCAAACCTGGACTGACCCTGAAAACCTCCAACTAAAACCTGCAGCTGTTTTATTATATCGAATAATTGACTGAACTTTGATTAATAAGCTCTTTGTCTACGTAAATACATTCTGATAATTAAGGAAAGTATTATTTTACATTTATGAGAAGTAGTCCTGCGTGAATATCGGAGAGAAATGGTGAGTGGAACCTTTGTCACAGTAGTCGAACACCCTGGTTGCCCAACGTTTGTTAGTCCACTGAAAGTGTTTTAGGTAGTTACAGATTCATATTCAAAGGATTCACCGTTTATTGCATCGGTGTTTGAATCTGCAGGACGCCAATCTTTTGGACTCCTGTTTTAGTATCTTACTCGATGCATGACGAACTTTTAGTGGGACATATTGTGAATAAAACTCTATAGTGGGAGATAAATTCTAGTAAAACCAAACAGGGCTCACAGATTTGATGGTAATAAATAATCCGCACTTATAGATAGTTGTTGAAATGCCAAATATCTGATCATCCAACCTTAAAATACAGAGCGGTCTCGGTGAGGTTGTATTTCTCTGAAACAGTCTGAGTTTAGGGCTGCTGATCAGACAGAATAATCTTTTCTGAAGACACCTCGGGAAGTGTGGGCAGACGATGAAGAAGAAAAGCAGGAGAGAGAGATGCTGTGTCAGGAGGTGAAGGTATAAAAGCAGAACTTCACACGTTGTTCTGATCTTCCTGAGGGTCTATTTTGCCCTCAGCAGTGTATTCAGGCACCGAGGAGGGAGGAGAGGTCAGGGAGCTGCGAGGGGTGGACGTGAGGAGAGGAGAGTTTAAGGAGGTGAGGGGAGGACGCTCAGGAGGCTCGATGTCCACTAGGACTTTCTTCTTCACGGCTCTGACCTCTGACCTTGTTTTTCTGACTCTAGCCTCCAGCAGCTGCAGAGCCTCGCTGCGGATTCACGTCTCTGAGAACAAACAGCAGGAAGGTGAAGAGGTTCAAGAGCACCACGCTTTCAAAATAAAATGTTTTCAGAGATGCATCATGGGATGAAAAGTTTCAGATTTTTGAGGGTGTCTTTCTGAAAAACTACAATCATTTTCCTGGACCTGGTTCAGCTCTGAGATCGAAAACATAAATGTGCTTTTGTAGTTGGATTGATTATGAAGTTGAAGCACTGAGCGTTCATGGTCCTCAGGGGATGAGTGAAAATGATGCAAAGGTGATAAAAACCAGAGTCAAAGGAGGCTTAAATGTTAAAACTGTTGGGCCAAATCCTTAAAGGGATATTACTATGGCGTGGGATACTATAGAGTGGCTTTTTGGTTGAGGGCGTGGCTCTCTGCATTTCTATCCTGCGGTCGTTACTAAAGTTGGTATAACTAGAGAAGCAACATTCATCTAGAGCGTGTCTAACTTGATGTTGTCGGTGTGTTTGACCCTAAATTAATTTTACGCCGGAATATCCCTTTAAAGCATGCATCATTTTGTCCAACTTTTTAATGCGATGCAAAGATTTAAGTCTCTTAAATAAGGGTTACAAAACATGACCTGACTTTCTGTAGTGATAGGGTTTTTGGGCTTTTATCTGTTTTTAAACTCTAGTGATGTCGAGATTCAATGTGCTTCAGCATCCAATCAAAAAGTGATATTCGATAAAGGGGCGTGTCTCTCATTGCCTCTCTGATTTCTCTCCTCTCTCCTCTCTCCTCTATGCAGTATTCAGGGCTCCGTAACACCACTTCAGGTTCACAAGAGGATGGAGAAAACTGCAGTTGAGCGGTTCAGGATACAGGGAAGTAGAATTAATAACGGTACTAATCAAACCTTTTCAAATCTCATTCCTAGTCCATCATTTTTAGGGATTAATTGGGTGTAAATCTGGAGTCAGTCATGGACAATCAGGTTTAAAACTGACCCAAAGAAAACAATCAGACTTTCATGAACAAACAACATCAGAGACACAAACAGAAAATAAGATTAAAGTTCACAGTTTGTCCTTGAACGCATCACAACCACATGACTTTGCTCTGCAACAGAAAAGGAGGACAGGAGGTGACGGCTGCCTCTTCAGCCCGCAGTGAGGGGTTCATGTCAGGCCGCTCCGAGGAGGAAGGGGGGAGGAGATGGAGGAGGAGATGGAGGAGGAGCAGGGTGACCTCCAATTAGCCCTCTGTGAGGACATGAAGGGAGGGGGTGATGGGAGTGAGTGCAGCCAGGGTGAGGACGGGTGAGGAGGTGATGCTATCTCGTTAGCCTGCAGCTCAGAGGCAGGACGGGGTTCTGACAGGAGGAGCAGGTCGTGTTCGTCCGACCGTCGCTCAGCTGTAAATCTGGGAGTCGCTCCGTCAGCGTCCATGTTTGACTAATGACGGAGAGAAAAGTTAGCGCCTGCTGTTTCCGGACATTTAAACCAAATTAAAATCCTGCAAATAAGAAAAAAAGTGAACAGTATACAGTACCGTTCAAAAGTTTGGGGACACCCAAACAATTTAGTGTTTTTCATGAAAAATCACACTATTTTTAATCAAATGAATAAAAAATGAGTAGAAACTACGGTCAAGACATCGATAAGGTTAGAAATTATGATTTTTATTTGAAATAATAAATTTCTTCTTAAAACTTTCCTCAAAGAATGCTCCATTTGCAGCAATTACAGCCTCGCAGACCTTTGGCATTCTAGCTGTTCATTTGTTGAGGTAATCTGGAGAAATTTCACCCCACGCTTCCAGAAGCCCCTCCCACAAGTTAGATTGGCTTGATGGGCACTTTTTGAGTACCGTACAGTCATGCTACTCGCACAACAGCTCAATGGGGTTGAGATCTGGTGACTCCAGTACAGACAGAATACCAGCTGCCTGCTTCTTCCCTAAATAGTCCTTCCATAACTTGGAGGTGATCTTTGGGTCATGGTCCTGTTGTAGGAGGAAATTGGCTCCAATCTGTCCACAGGGTATGGCATGGGGTTACAAAACTTTACCAGCACCAAAGCAACCCCAGACCATCACATGACCTCCACCATGTTTGACAGATGGCGTCAGGCACTCTTCCAGCAACTTTTCAGTTGTTCTTCTGTGTGATCCAAACACCTCTAACTTCGATTCGTCCGTCCATAACACTTTTTACCAATCCTCCTCTGTCCAATGTCTGTGTTCTTTTGCACATATGAATCTTTGCCTTTTATCGACTCGTCTCAGATCTGGCTTTTTCTTTGTCACTCTGCCCTGAAGGCCAGCATCCCGGGGTCGCCTCTTCACTGTAGACGTAGACACTGGCGTTTTGTGGGTACTATTTAATGAAGCTGCCAACTGAGGACCTGTGAGGCGTCTATTTCTCAAATTAGAGACTCTGATGTACTTGTCCTCTTGCTCAGTTGTGCAGCGGGGTCTCCCGCTTCTCTTTCTACTCTGGTTAGAGCCTGTTTGTGCTGTTTTTTGAAGGGAATAGTACACACCGTTGTAGGAAATATTCAGTTTCTTGGCAATTTCTCACATGGAATAGCCGTCATTTCTGAGAACAAGAATAGACTCTCGGGGTTTCACATAAAAGTTTCTTTTTCTGGCCATTTTGAGAGTTTAATCGAACCCACAAATGTGATGCTCCAGATTCTCAACTAGCTCAAAGGAAGGTCAGTTTTATAGCTTCTCTAACTAGCAAAACTGTTTTCAGCCGTGCTAACATAATTGCACAAGGGTTTTCTAATCATCCATTAGCCGTCTAACGCAATTAGCAAACACAATGTACTATTAGAACGCTGGAGTGATGGGCGTTTGCAGCTAGAATAGTCATTTACCACTTTAACAACGTATAGAGTGTATTTCTGATTAGTTGGTTGTTATCTTCATTTAGAAAACAAAGTGGTTTTCTTTCAAAAATAGGGAAATTTCTAAGTGACTCTAAACTTTTGAACAGTAGTGTATATCAGTCATAACAAAAACTGTTAAAACTAACGTCTTTCTCTGCACTAATATACTGTGGGCTTTCACATAATGCATTGTAACAACAAATAAAGCATACAGTGAAATGACTGGACAGCTCCATACATGTAAAAACAGGAGTAAAAATGTGATATTCAGTCTTTCTCTCTGTTCCTCCTGCTGCTGCAGATTAGCATCGATAAATCGTCACATAGCACCTAAACGTTTCTCTAAATTCTGCTTCTTCATTAGTTGGATTATGGTTTAATTCTCATAAGTCTAAGTTACGGTGTAAAAGTCTGCTGTAAACTCTGTGGAAACCCGACTACAGAGGGAACAAACTGAAATCCACCAGAGCTCCAGATGTACCTCCAGCCAAAGAAAGGAACTTTTGTACGAAAAAAAACAGGTCATGGCGTGCTCGTGTTTCACGGTGCTGCTGCAGGCGTCATCAAAAATGTCAAAGAGAGTCAAAAACCAGGTTCAAAATAGAGGACTGTAAGTTTCAGACATCGTCGCAGCCAAAGGTCAGAGGAGGAGAGATGGAGCGATAAAATCAGGGACAAACGGAGCACGGCGAGGAGGTGACAGCGCCAGGTTTCAGCGATTAGGAGTGACAGAGAATCAGGAGGGGGAGGGGTGATGAAGGAGCAGCAGGGAGGAGGAGGAGGAGGAGGAACATGGAAGAGCTGTCAGGACAGAGATGACTCTGTTAGAAGGTCATTGCTATCAGGCGGGAGAGGAGGAAGAGGAGTGTGATGGATGGAGGAGGTGAAGGGATGGAGGAGACGAGGCTGTCGGGTCGATTCTGGGCTGAGGCTGAAACGAGGGAGAGGATGTGAGATTGGGGAGGTTATCTGGTTAGCTGTGAGGGGAGGAGAAGTGACAGAGAGGAGGAGCAGCGTCAGGAGAAAAGAGGCTGAAGTATGAAGACCAGAAAACGCCGCCTGAAGCCGTAAAATCATCTCACAGCAGAAGAAGAAGAAGAAGCGCTGACCGCACCTGAACGAGTCAAACTGGTCTCATCTGATCTGTCCGTCTCTCTCAGCGTCTGTCCGGTCTGCACTTAAAGCCTCCTGAAACTGATCGAAACAGAAAATCAGATCAACGAGGGGAAAATTGACCCTCAGAGGAAGAAAATCACTCTGTCCTCCGAGCAGAAGATTCATCATCTTCTCCTCAGTCCTCCTGCCATATTCGTTCACCTCCTGAAGAGTCTGATTTAACAGTTTCTGACCTTCATCATCGTCTTCTCTGTGCTTGGACTTCAAAATGACACTAATATAAGGGGAGGCGGGGGCTGCAGGGGCTGATGGGAAAATGAAACTCAAAGGAGAGGCCAGTTTGAGTGAAAGTGAAGATCTATGAGCTTCAGCAGGTTCATCTTCAGCTTTCTCTTATTAAAGTTTACTGAGAGTTTGTGAAGTGTTTTAGTTCCCATCGTCTTATCAAGCCCATACAGTAAGAGCCAATCAGATAACAGTTTAGTGAGTGTCGACGGGAACCAACTGGGGCTCCTCTGCAGGACGACGTGGACCAAGAACCATCGCAGAGATATCCAGAGGGTTAAAGGTCACTTCACTTTTGATCCATTGAACTGATCGTCTCTAATTGGATTGTGAACAGGCAGCAGAGTGAAGACGTTTGGGCTTGAAGTCAAGAATCGTAACAGCAGGGACCCAAACAAAGTTAGCGTGCTACAATATCGGACAGTAGAAACCAACCAGAAAGTTCGGAAAATTGTCTGAATCCTCCTTTGGCCACGACTGCCGACACAAGCAAGAAAACAAAGTAAATACCGGAGACTCTGGAGGAATAACGGGCGCTTAAAACGGAGGTAGACCGGACAAGAGCTAAAAAGCCGGGTCAACATAAACCATGGGGGACGCTTGGGGATCTTGGTGACCCTGTAACCTTTCTGCTGGACAGGTAAACCGCTTTAACAAAGTAAGACAAGTGTCTGTAACAGAAGTGTTTCTTGTCAAACGGACCTGCTGTAGCGTGTTGTAGCGCCATCGCTAAACTGTCCTCCCTCGGGTCCTGGACTATGTCACTTTATCCTCGTTGTAGAAGTCCTGCAAACATTGTGTTTGCTGGTGGTCTGTTGGCATCTACAGTAGCACCAATGCTTTTGACTTTCACCCTGACTGGGCCCCATTTGTAATGATCTGAAGTATTTATCTGCATTATATCTGAATTTAATTGGAACGATACGAGCGAGCAGGAGCGTCTGTTTGTGGGCGGGGCTTGAGGGGAGAGGAGGAGCTGAGGGGAAAACTGGTTGGGAGGGTTAGAGTTTACAGTCAAGATTTCTCCTAAAAACTGGCGCTTCCTAAGATCCTGACTACACCACCTTTAATCAGTTTAATTCTTGATAATATCATGAACTGAAAGCTCGTCGTGAGAAAAGACAGACATCAGTGTTTCAGGTTAAGAAGCTGTCCGATCATTGACTGTGTTTTATTTCTTATTAAATTACTCAAAATAATAATTGTTAGTTTTCTCCATCTGCCGGTACTGGAGTCACTTTTTTATCGCTCTTTCTTTTCCAGTTTGAGAGAAGTTTTTATTTTTCTGCTGAATTTGTTGAACAAACCTGACAGTGTTTATATCCTGCTGTTTTCCAACTGGGCCAAGGCCGAGAAAGTGTACAAGGCCAAGCAGAGGAAGGGAGCCAAACTAAGTGGACTTCAGGGGCCGAGGTGTGAGTGCCCCCTCAAATCTAAAGAAGAGTTTCTGTGAGTGATGAAGAAGAGGAGTGGCGCTGAGCTCATTAGTGCTGACAGTGAACAGACCTCGGTGTTTGTTAGTGTGAGAGCAGCGGCTCTTTCTCCTCTAACAGTCTGATGAAGGCAGAGGAAGCAGACATGAGGATCACTCCTCTCTGAATGCTTTAACTCTGCACACACTCTCACTTCCATCTTTCCTCTAATTGTTTGTCAGAATACGCTCTGATGTGCCGTCTCTCTCCTCCTTTCCTTCCACCTCTCCTCCTCCTGCCTCCTCCTTCTTCTTCTCTTCCCTGCAAATATTGATCCTCCAAATTGCTTCTCAAGGTCTTCACCGTCTCCGTGACGACAGCTGCCGTGTCACGATAAGCCTTCGTAGCTGCTGGTGATCCTGAAGTCGGCTCACGTCATTGGCTGTCAGCTCTGGGGGTACGGGCCACATCTCTGCCCCCTCATGCAAATGTCATGAGATGGGGGTGGAGGCCTACAGGTGGTACAGAGGGGGAGTGACGTCAGCCTCAGGAGCCTGAATTATTTGGAAAGCAGGTTTAACACTGATGCAGGTTTGGGCTGGGCGATAAAAGGATAATGATATATATTGAAAATTAATTTCCCTCGATATCAATATAAAACATGATCAATATCCTTTTCAATAGTTGTCATTCTGCCATGTTTTGGTAGACTATACAAATAGCCAATGAAAAGGGGAGTTTCTCCGGGTCTGAACCAATCATGTGCTGAATTAGAACCAAGTATAAAACAACTGCATCATAGCAGACAGCAGCTACACCCAACCATAGCACTTTAACAGGTGAAGCCGACAGCACTGTTGGTGAGAAACAAAGAAAATGAGTGCTACCCCCGACAGAAATGACCATGAAGGCTCAACAGATGACCACATCAATGTCAACCACAACACTGGCGTTACGAAAACGTCGGTGGTGTGGAGGTATTTTGGTTTCTGCTAGGCTACGGTAGCTGCAGTTCTCCAACAAGCCAAAAGGATTTGAAGTGCGCCTTATGGTGCGAAAAATACAGTAGATTATTGTATTGCAAAAGACATGCGACCAATAAGCACTGTTAAATTTAATTTTTTTTACATCCTGATATTTGTCAATATTGACTGATATGAAAAAAATGTATCGTGATGAACTTTTTCCCATATCGCCCAAACGCAGGTCAAGAAAACCCACAACCCAACTTCATTTTCCTGACAGTCTGAACTCGGGGTACAGGAAGCCCACCCTCAGAAAATCATCGAACACAGGAGCACCAGTAGATTTCTCTGCAGCTCTCACATCCTTCAGATGTTTTCTTCTTTCACATGTCGGGAACGTCAGACACACACTGTTTGATGGATGTCCGCATGTTTGAGTCTGTACACTTCGTCTCTCAGAAACATGAAAGGCTAAAAGGTTAATTATAAAATCATGCTTCCTCTCCTCTGTTTCAGCCGCTCTTTAGCCTTCTTGATATTCCACCTCTTCTCTTGTAAATGGCCCCACTTAAAAAAAGGCCCTCTGACTCCATAAGTGGCTCTTTTTCCCCTGCCTGCCTTTTCTTCCATAATGACCCTCATTATTACGATGACGTGGTTATTATAGGGAGAATTATGGAACACAATAACACACATGACATTTAAAGTGAGTTAGACAAATTGGAGAATGGGTTTTATTTAATAAATGTACAGAACAGAGACTGAGAGGTGGATGTTAAGTTTCCTGTTTTCCAGTGTGAGTCATCAGCCCAGGAGACCTGGTTCTGGAGTTTGGACCTACAGAACCATGGAGCTTTGATGGAATTCAAACCAACATACAATGTTGAAAACTGCAGACTGTATGGAAGTTTGCAGCTCCATGAAAAACAGCAAAGAGGGAGGGATACTCAAACTGAACGAGGAGCTCCACGCTGTTTCCCAGCAACCACCTGTTAGTGTGTGTCTGTGTGTGTGTGTGTGAGGGCTCAGCCAGCAGGAGTGTGTGAGAGGAGGGATAAATGGATGGAGTGATGAATGAAGGGAGACACTCGGGGATGGCAGAGGTCACGTGTGTAGATGTGTTTTGAAGGAGTTTCATTAGATGGA